AATAACCTAGGTGTTTCCTCCTCCTCTAACCAGACGTGTCATAGTCTTTGGAAAATCATTCAACCTCTCTGAAATGCACCTCCTCATCTCTGAAAGGATAATAATTTTAAATATGAGTGCTTACCTCAAGGAGGGTATAAATACCAAATGAGATAAGAGATGTGAAAGGTGGTCTAGCATAGCACGAATATTAATTGTGTTTGCTAGGTTTCGAGGACGATGGACAGTGGCTTCAATACAACCCATCTTGTAAGGAGAGTGTGAAGCTTTGGAACTTCCTCAAATATACAGATATGAATTTCCATTAAATTCAGTATGTATGTCTCTTCTAGCATCTCAGCTTCCAACCCGGCCTGAATTTCATTCCAACCATTTACTAACCCTGGGGACAAGTTCTGCGCTCAGTCGTATCCGACTCTTTGCGACCCCATGGACTATAGCCCGCCAGGCTCCTCCGTCCATGGGATTTCCTAGGCAAGAATATTGGAGTGAGTTGCCATCTCCTTCTTCGAGGGATCTTCCCCACCTTGGGATCGACCCTGCGCCTTCTGAATTGCAGGAGGATTCTTTACCGCTGAGCCATCCGGAAAGCCCCAGGAAAAGTTATTTATCCTCAGTTTCCTCTTGGGTCTCATGGGGCTAATTAAACATTCCTCTAAAGGATGGTTTGAAGTAGGGAATAGAAAACATCACTCATGCTTTCACACGCGAGGTTTTAACCAAGGGAAGAGGTCCTTCTGTGAGAACCCAGAGGCTGGGAACTGAGTGGAGGCAAGAGAAAAGTGTCTCGGGTGCAGCGAAGGCGGGTATATGAATGGATGTTCCACTCTGCAACCGGAGGCGGCCTCGCGTGGGGAGCGGGGCGCTGGTGCCGGTAGGGGGCGCCGGAGCGCCGCACTGCAGCATCCCGGCGGCCTCCCGGGCTGAGCTCGCGTCCTGCCGCAGTCCCCTCGGCCGCTAGTCGGAGCGAGCGACAGCGAGGAGTCCCCGGCCGCTCCGCCAGCACTTGCCGCCGCTCCCACCCACGATCTCAGCCCAGCGGCTGGGAAACGCCCCCCGCAGACTGCGCTGCGCAACGTGGGAGGGTTAGCGGTCCCGGGGAACCGCTTCCGAACTTGCCAGGGGACCGCGGCTCTCCCGGGCCTGGAGAGTGTGAACAGGTGAGTGTAACGCACGTGCCCAGGTGGCCCTTTCGGGATGACTTCCTGCAAACCCTTCGGAGCCCCTGAACGCTTGGCCTCTGGGGCGGTCCTCCTGGTCCCTGGGTCCTCCCAGGCGGGGGTTGGGGGTCGCCGAGAGGGTGATCTGAGCGCCAGCGCCAGGGACTTGACAGCGTCAAGGGGCTAAGACCAGAAATGCCCTTTCGACTCAGGTTCCATTCTCTGCCTAGATTGAGAGCAAATGACCTGCAGTCCACGATGGGCTTGTTTATCATTGCAGGATACCTGTTGCTTTCTGAGCAACGCTATAGCCAGGGGTCTCCTACAATCTTCCTCCTCCTCGTGCATGCTGCGTTGTGATAAAATGAGGGACAATGCCCGGTAATGAGACTGGCAAAACTTGGTTTCGGAGCTATAGAAGGAGTGGCCCAAAGAGAATCTCAGCCCCACCGTCAGATTAGAGTCTTTGTTTCCCTAAACACCTGCACTTTATTTTGATGAGACCATGAACACAGAAGTTGAAACAACTATTACCTTATAAAGATGCTTGTAAGTATAATAGTTTAGGGATTTATTATGAATAAATCATTTTTTTAATAAATAAGATCAGTTTATAGTGAACTAAATGTCATAGGCCTATTGGTCTGTAAGCTCTTTGAAGATGACCTTTTGCGATTAGCATGAACGTGGGATGAATCAATGCATGCATTAATAATAACAGAATTTGGAGTCTTCCTAAGCTTTCTTTCGGTACCTTTCTGTTTAGGAAAAAGATCAATACACCTTTAATCTCTCAAATGAACCTCTTACCTGTGATTTTATCTTTAGTAGTGATAGGAACTGAGAAATTTTTTGCCCTATTAAAACACTGTCTATCTAAAAACTGAACGGCAGCTTCGAGACCCAGACAAAATACTTCTGCCCAACAACATGAAGACAAATGTTTTCTTCCATCCATGTCATGGAAGGTCTCGGATCATGAATTATTTTGAACATCAGAGCCTTGGCAACAGGTCCCTTATTAACACAATTGACACATTTATCTTTGCTTCCTGTCTTTATCAAATGTAACTTTTTCACATATTCATATGAGAAAATGTTCAAAGATGTATGTCAGTTTTGTGTCTCCCTTTAAGGGGTTTTTCTTAACATAACCTAAAATTGACACTAACTAGCTGTATCTTTTTTACTTTATATATGAAACATTCAACCCACATAATTTCTCTTTCTTATGTGAAATTCCTCTGCCTCTGAGGCCATTTGGGAATTACTGAAAAACTTGACTTAACAAGTGTGTGGTTTCTTTTTTTTTTTTTTAAATCACATTTGATGGCTACTCTCTTGAAGCATAAATCAGATAGTAAATTATTTGGATTTTTATGGGCATGGGAATGAGCAGTCCTGCATGAAATAACAAATTGTTGTTTATACAAGCTCCAGACACTTGCATGTTCTATGTTTCAAAGAAATGCTTGCCATTCTTATTTAGAATTCATTTAGTTAATATATCTCAATAGATTATGTTTCTGTGATGCTTCTGTGATGAAGCACTGAACCTTAAACATAGAGGCCTTTTCTTAATGAATGCACATAAAATGACAACGGAATTCTTTTATCTTTAGCTGAAAGTGTGGGACTGGACAAATTACAGATGTTACAACTTCTACGTTTTGTGCTACTAATGATCACTAAGGAGTTTTTTCATTATTTTGATGAACTAAACAACAGCCAATGCTAATGTCGACCTTTCTGTCCTTCGGAGGAAGCTCTGACACTGTGGAAATCAGCAAATACAGAATTTGTGAGGCAGAGGTCAATGGTTTAGATGCATAGGGAAGGAAACAATTACATGTTAATGTCTTTGTAGAAATACTTTTTCAGAAGAACTTTTACTTTTTTTCTTTCTCTGGAAAAGCTCTTTTAGAAAATTTGTAGATGCCAAAACCCTGGCAGGAGCAGTTCATATGTTTAGATAACAGACTTGAAAGTGAAGTCTTGTATTTAAGATGAAAACATCGATTGCAGAAGTTCAGAGTGGGGGAGCCTGCAGTTCATGTGAAAAATGTGAGCCTTAATATGAGTGACCGTGCTGGAATATAACCAGCATGCCTTGATGAAGAAGAGGAAGAATCCCGTGAAACTTGTGCTGGGTCATTTGTCAGGTCACATTTCAAGGGGTTGAATGCAGAGGATGCCATGTTTCTAGAGTGATTAAAATGGCAAATGCCAGGGAAGGGAGCTGCATATGGTCAAGAGGAAAGGTGAGGGTCAAAAAGTATAAACAAGAACAGGCGTCTCCATGTAGAACCAAGGAAGAGGACTGGGTCTCACTTTCCTAGAAAGCAGAAGTCTAGAATGGGACCAAGTCTCCTAGTAATTGCTAGGTACTTGAAGGGCTCTGAGTGAAAGAAAAGAAAAAGTTGATGTTATGCTCCTCCTCCCCCCACCCCTGGAAAGCGGTAAATTAGACCCTGAGTGGTCTAATTAGTGGTTATTAGATGGTTGTCTGGTCATATGAAAGGCCTCCTGTGATGGCTGGAGATTTGTTTTTTTCATTACCTCCAAGACTCCAATTTTACATTATGGTACCAAGGACCTTGGCGTCATTCCTAAAGCACCCATAATATAAAGTGGGCTTGCATCCGGGCTAAGTTACTTCAGTTTTGTCCGACTCGTGTGACCCTATGGACTGTACCTGCCAGGGTCTTCTGTCAGGGTATTCTCCAGGCAAGAATACTGGAGTGGGTTGCAGTGCTCTCCTCCAGGGGGTCTTCAGGGACTGAACCCGCATCTCTTACGTCTCCTGCATTGGCAGGCAAATTCTTTACCACTAGTGCCACCTGGGAAACTTACGTTTACATGATGTCATTTACCAGGTGGTGCTAGTGGTGAAGAATCTGCCTGCCAGTGAAGGAGCCTTGCAGGAGACGGGGTTTCTGATCCCTGGGTCAGGAAGATCCCCTGGAGGAGAAAATGGCAACCAACTCCAGTAGTCTTGCCTGGAGAATCCCATGGACAGAGGAGCCTGGAAGGCTATAGTTCATGGGGTCATAAGGAGTCAGACATGACTGAGCACCCAAGTGTTAGGACAATGCCATAAACTAATGTACTTGAGGTTGTTATAATAGCATTTATCTTTTGTGTTCCAGGGCTTTGTGTCTAGGAAAATGTAAAAATATGTATATGTTATGTATCAATTTTAGGAACGTGGGTATCTGTTACATGACTTGACCTTGTGATCTAGTGAATGGAGATAAAACTTAAACCTTGAAAGGCAAATTCAATCATGTTATAGTGGGGTTAGCTAGTAGGAATGTGTATTAGTCAGCCCAAAAGGAAATCGAATTCCAAATGTGATTGTCTCCATCGTGTGTGTTTGTATATTGAGTGTTTACAGGCACATGGTAAATACATGTATTCACAGACAAGGATTTGTTATCAATTACTGACATAAAACATTCTTTGAGGAAGTGCTTTTGAAAATGCTATCTTTTGTTAAAAAAAAAAAAAGTATGTTTTAGAACCAGACAGATTGAAGAGCAAGTCCTGGAACTATTATTTTTTAGTTGAATGGTTTACAGTAAATTGCTTGAGCCCTCTTGCAGGATTGTGGTGGCGATCAACAGGGAAGATGCTGATCAAGTCAATGATTCTGGCACATAGAAGATGCTTAATAAATATGAAGTTCTTTCTCCAGTCACTTTCTCTAGTGAATTCCCAAATCTCTTTTGTTTAAGGATTGCAGATTTACCATGATATGGTGAACCCCAGGGCTGGAAACAAAAAGATCTTCTCAGCTCTTTAGTTTGAACCACAGTGAATTGTCTACCAGCACCCAACATGGCTAAAAGTGCAGAGGTCAAACTGGCAATATTTGGGAGAGCAGGCGTGGGCAAGTCAGGTAAGGTGTTTGTTGTGATTGTAGTGTGTGTGTGTGTCTGTGTGTGTTACTGACTGAGCCAGGGGGTGGGGGTGGCGGGAGGGAGCAGTTGGCATATCTCCTATTCTCCTGTGTGGCTCTATCAGATGAAGCGACTTTCTCTTTAACTCAGATTTTCATTTTGCATAATCAGGTTTTATGTCCTCTTTTGCTTCTTTATGGTAAAGCAGCGCTGTTGATAATACACAAGGCAATGGATACGTCAGAGGTCTTGATATTCCAAGAAAGGATATCCGAATTCCAGAGAAATAAGATTGGAGAAATTAAAAAATACATTTGCTCTTTTTTTTTTTTTTTTTTGGTCTATATGAGATCCTGAGGGGCCAGTGTAATATCTCATCAATCTCTATATGCTCAACAACCGGCTCAATGTCAGGCATGTGTTGAGTGCTGAATAAATGCGTCTTTACAAGGAAAAGAATTCTATTATTGTTATCCAAAGCAGGGTTCGAGTGCTCGCTGCTCAAAAGTCAATAAAGAGTCCAGATTGGTGGAAAGGAAAGTTTGCCTTATTTTGGATTCTGGCAGCCAGGCAGGGAGAAATGACATCTGTCTAAAGGCTGACTCCTCTGCACCCCAATCAGGGCACATGAATTTCTATAGACAGAGGGAGGGGGCTACATGCAGAAACCACACAGTCAGCTCTGACAGTCATCTTGAAATTGGTCATCGATGGTCTGACCAGCATCATCTTGATTGTTTTTAGTACAGTTAATTTTCTGTTCCCAGGTCAGTTTGTTTCCATTTCCTTGAGGCCAATTCTCGGAGTTGTGACAGCTTATGTCACGGCTACAGTCTGGTCATCCTGTACTTAACTCTCCACCTGGTAGGGCTTTCAGTATCTAGAAGAGCTCACGGCATATGCCTCCGAATATTTTCTACAACCCTTGAGAAGGGAACTAAGGGTCCTTGACTTTGCTTAATGATGACATTATTGTTATTTGGTCTCCTTTGACTATTTTCCTTTGTTTCTGCATATTCTCACTTCTCTGATTAAACGTATTTGGCTAGTTTTTCCACAGACAAAAGGCAGACAGAGGACATGGGGGAAGGACCATAGAGTTCTGCTCCATTTCATTGTCACTCGACACATCTAAAATCAGGGAGGACTGTGAAGGCTGGGATGTGCCTGACCTCAAGGGAAACATATTGCCAGCACCTCTAGGGTCAATTTAAATGACCAGATTGTGGTGCTCCTCAGTAATTGAGAGCCTTTAGTGTTCCATACCTGAGGAAAGGTTTGCAGACCTTTCAGGTGAAGGGCAAAATGGTGGAAGTGAAAAATGTATCTAGTCCAATTTGAAAAACAGATCTCAGATTTTATAATTAAAGAGTGCTAAGCAAGTGTTGCTAAAATGCCAGGGTAACATCGTTTTTCAGAGAATGTTGCTTTGGTCTCTTACTGGAAGAAAGACTCATAATTGATTTTGTCCACTGAGCTTTTGGTTCTCAAGAAAGGACTCTAACAGACATAGTGCATGTGTGTTTGTAGAGAGAAGCCTGTTCAGATCATCCAATACAACAGGTCATCCATGTAATCTTAAACACTTACGTTGTTGTTGTTGTTCAATCATTAAGTCATGTCTGACTCTTTGCGACACCATAGACTGTAGCCCACTAGGCATCTCTGTCCTCCACTGTCTCATGAAGTTTGCTCAAATTCGTATCCCAAACACATATGAGCAGTCATTAATTCTGTGACCAATCTCTCTTTCCAAATTGGCTCTCTGGTTTCATTTCAGCAGTAAATACTGCCTACTCTAAGTCTCTCTCTCTCTCTTTCTTTTAATTTTCTTGAGAGGGCTCTTCTCTGCCATCACCCTTTTCTCCCACTTGCTATTTGCTTTAGCCTTTGGCAAAAACCAGGTAAAGAAAGTAACAGACAGTTGGCAAGGCTAAGAAACTGCCAGCCTTTACAAGCTCTAAGATTATTAAACTCCTCCCTATTCATCTTAGTTTCCTGATCGCAAGCATGCATGCTTGTTTTCATGCATGCTAAGTTGCCTCAGTCGTGTCCGACTCTTTGTGACCCTGTGGACTGTAGCCTGCCAGGCTCCTCTGTCATTGGGATTCTCCAGGAAAGAATACTGGAGTGGGTTGCCATGCCCTCCTCCAGGGGAACTTCCTGACCCAGGGATTGAACCCGTGTTTCTTATGCTGCCTGCATTGTCAGGCGTGTTCTTTACCACTAGCGCTGCTTGGGAAGCCTTCCTGATAGTGTGAGAACCTAACTTTTGTGGCTGGTGGAAGGATCTGGAGAATGAGGAAACTGTTTCAGTGAGTGGAGGATGAGGGTGAGGCAGTGTGTGGGAAGATCCGTTCTGCCCACAAGAGCTGGCCTGAATTTTCACCAGTGAGGGATCAAGGCTCAGAGCTCATTGTTTAACATCCATTCATTCACAATTTAACATAGGCAATAAGGAAAGGGGAATTTTTAAACCTTATGTCATCACCAGAAGAAAGTCTACATGCTTTGGAAAGTGAATCATGAAAATAAAAATACAGTTGAGAGAACCACTTACTTTCTGTACCGTGTGCGTGCTGCATGCTGAGTTGCTTCAGTCCTGTCTGACTCTGTGCGATACTATGGACTGTAGCCCACCAGGCTCCTCTGTCCATGGAATTCTCCAGGTAAGGATACTGGAGTGGGTTGCCATGCGCTCCTCCAGGGGATCTTTCTGACTCAGGGATTGAACCTGCATCTCTTACATCTCCTGCATTGGCAGGCAAGTTCTTTACCACTAACATCACCTGGGAAGCCTGTGTACCCTATAACCACCGCTTTTTCACCTGTATTATCTCTGAACAAACTGGGTATCTCCTTCTGTCAAGGCTGACCCATCAGTCAGAGCATAGACCTCAGTTGGCTTTGGTTCCCCCAAAGTAGTTACAGTCCTTGTTTCAAGGATTCCTCTCATTCTCTACTGACCTTTTCCCCTAAGCATTTCTTTGTCCACTACTCCATCTTTTTCTTTCCTCCAAGGTTATTGAACATGGACTCTGGCCTCAGTGTCTTAACTTTTTTTTGACTTCCTGTTCATTGCTTAAACATCTTTCACTGTGATCATACTGCTGAAACTGATTTTACAAAAGTCAGGGCTTCCCAGGTAACCCAATGGTAAAGAATCTACCTGCCAATGCAGGAAACGCAAGAGATGAGGGTTTGATCCCTGGGTCGGGAAGATCCCCTGGAGGAGAATATGGCAACCCACTCCAGTATTCTTGCCTGAAAACTCCCATGGACAGAGGAGCCTGTTGGCCTACAGTCCATGAGGTTGCAAAGAGTTGGACATGACTGACCACACACACCATTGATCAATAACCAACCAATCTAATGAATCTTTCCCAGTTGTGATCTTCTTAGAACTCTTGTTATCGTTTAACACTACTACTTACTCTTTCCTAAAACTCCTGCCTTCCCAGGCTCCCATTACATCACCCTGCTTGGCTTTCCTGCCACTTCTCTGTTGACCCGTTTCAGGGCTGCTGTTTACTGGCCTACCTCTCAAAGATCGGAGCTTCCAGCTTCCACATACTATTCTCTTGTCTTCATGCTCCATACCCTCAGGGAATGAGCCCTCACTCCCAGAGCTTGAAGATAATACCTGCCCAAGAAGTCCACATTCTGCAGACCTTGGTTTTAATTTATGGAAAGTGCGGAAGTGGAACTTGTTAATTAAGGTCCTTCCCAAGTCTTAAATCCTGTGATTCTTGATTAATAGCTCTTCTTTGGACTGATTTCTCACTCTACCTTATATACATTCTGCCATGGGTGTTTATTTTCATTTAGGGGAAGATGACAGTGATAGACCACATGCCTTTAAACAATTGCCTTTTTGTCTGTCATCTATAAACAGGCAGTGTTTTCCTATTTCAACATGAGACTATTTTCCCGAGACCTTGTAACCACACCTCCCATTTAAAAAGAAGTACTGGTTTAACTTATGTATGGGAGTCAGTTCTGAGACCTTTTCCCAGAGTTCAGTGAAAACAACCACAGAGGACTTGATAACCTATCAGCTTTGAAACCAGACTCTAGCCATGGTGAATTCATGTTTATTCTAGTTCTTTATTAATATGGATAGCTCAGTCTCTGCCTTGTCATTGTACTCTACCTTCACCTTCCTATTGTACAGGTTGTATCTGTTTTGTAAGTAAACTTTTTTTTTTTCCAAGTCTGCAAGAAATTATACCTTCTGGAATGTATTCAGCTCCTCACTTACTCAAATGCCTCCCCAAATGACCATGATCTACTTGTGGGCTCAAACAATCCATTTCTCACCAAACACCCAGCAGGAGACGTATTCCTGGGAAGGGCGGGGCAGCAGGTGACCTTGGAGTGGTAGAAACTGAGTGTCTCTGCTTTGAACCTGGGTCTAAGTGTCAGACAAAACTTGACAACTGAACAACTGTGTGAATTGCTTCAGAGGCTCAAGTCTGCCATGGCCTATCTGCTATCCCCCACACTCAATACCAATTTGGAATTTAGTATGCTTAGTTACTCAGTCATGTCCAACTCTTTGAGACCCCTTGGACTGTAGCCCACCAGGCGCCTCTGTTCATGGGATTCTCCATGCAAGAATTCTGGAATGGGTAGCCATTTCCTTCTCTAGGGGATCTTCCTGACCCAGGGATCGAACCCAAGTCTCCTGCATTGCAAGCGGCTTCTGTACACTCTGAGTCTCCAGGGAAGCCCAGGCACTTAGGTAAATAAGACCAACTGTCTGTTTGCTAACAGTGGCCCAGGTGGCCTGGAGTCAAGTACAAGAGCCCCGGTGTCCTACTGTTGGGTCTGACTCCCAGTTCTACACGTTATGAGCTGTGTGAACTTGGCAACTTTGACACGGCACTTAAATTCTCAACTTCTGCAATTATACAAAGATTATTTTAGGGCCTATCTCAAAGAGTTGTTGTTAGAACTGAGTGAGATATTATACACAAGTTTTTTAGATCAGTATCCG